AAAACATGAGGCATAGGGGGCATAGTATATATAACTAAGAACGTTACTGGCTATTAATACGCTCTTTATTTTCAATTTTAATATCTGATTATATAACCGCTTCCTTAGGATTTTTATATGTAGGTTAGGTTATCAATATAACTCAATACAATTTTCATATGGGACACTTTTTGCCATTTTTACAAGTCTATTTCTTTCTCTATCTTAATTCAATAATCATAAGAATACTTATATACAGTAAGCACTATAAAATATTTCTTTGGACGGTCACAAATATATATAAAACTAAATTAGTTTTTAATATAAAATATACATTCAGCCAAGGGGCATAATTAAATAATACGCACATCGTATTTTATATTAATTTTATAATTACGTATAAGATGTCAAACAGACAGGATAAAAATAGAAGATAAATCCATTTAGTGTGTGATAAGGTGGTGATTGATAAGCGCCAGCTCTGGTACCGATCGCTGCAATATGAGACTCGCATGTTCAGGGGAGTGCCAGCGATAACGTTAAAAATCACCAGGCCCATATTTATCGCATTGGGTTAAGCAAAGAGAATATCTATCTGTTATAATTTAAGACTAGAAAAACAAATTTGACTTCAATCGCAATGGCCCCATCGATTGTAAAAACAATATACTAAAAAATACAGCAACATTTCGCGAATATTTCATATATGAGTAATATCAATCAATCAATAATTCAATCAATCTCCTGGATATTGATACTTTTACGTCATAATTGGTTTTGCATCATCTCAGGTGATTAGCCCATCGTCAGCAGATTCTGCTGGATGAGTCGAGCACAGGTGGTCGGTGGACACAAGAGACTTATATACAAAAAAAAATTTACAGCCAAAGTTACAATATGCGACAATTCAATTTTTTTATTTTTATTTAATTAAAATGTAATTGTGAAAACTTTGAATCTAGATAAACCTACATAACGTTGTGTGTTGCGGAAAATCTACTTCTGTAGTTTTTAAGTGAGTAAATTTTTGATGTGTTTTATTGCTTTAATCTAGATATAGAGGAAATTTACAATATTTGGGTATAGTTTAGACGTAATGTCTTCAAAATTTTGCCGGATATGGTATTTACCCAGCTCGCCTGATGCCTATAACCAGCCCATTATGATCCGTAGAACCCCACCTTACGATATATGGAGATAGATTACCGAAAAATGTCAAATAATCCAAATAATTCCGTAAACACATTTTGGTTTACTTGGCTGTATATTATCTTTAGGGGTAAACGTGAATGTAAATGTGTCCACAGAAATTTTAACACTTCCGAGTTTTTTTATTACTTATTTTCTGTGCGTATTTTAATTCGTTGATAGTGCATATAGATAATTCTTCTTACGCTGCTTTTCCCACAATACCTACGTATTTATCCTAAGTTTTAATTTCCCACTTAATGAATCTTTTAATAAAAAAATCCATAATACTATATTTATTATGTTTTTCGATTAAATTAACAATCCATCTTAATATCAGATGCAAATTGAAAGAGTTTATCCAGAAGATATCTAGAACACCTATTGTCTATAATCTACAAGACTAAAGTTTAATTACATGTTGCGTAGACATATCTATAAATCATAAAATTTATGGGATTTATCTTAAATATTATTTAGTTTTATCAAACTTTTAAACCAATTTCTAAATTCGGTTACATTGTTTTTATGTTTGGTATATTATAACTCTGTCAGATATAAACCGACTTAGAAATTTCATTAACTTAACTAACATTAACTTTCATTAACTTAAAATTATTAATTTTCTTAAGTCTTTATAATTTTTGACACACGACGTTTTGTGTAACACAATATTAAAATTTGTATACAGATTTTTTACTAAATTTAGTTTCATTATTCATAGATTTAGATATACAAATTAGGCGCATCATATCATACTGGATCATCGCGTTATGTGTTGCGAGGCTCCAACTCTGGTGCAAACATGAAACGCATGATGGTTCTTGCATTTTATTCCTACACGTGGAACCAGTGAACCGATTTCAACGGAGTTCAATGTTCGATGTTAGAAGTTGACTTATAAAATGAATAAAACGCAGTATCCGTTTCTATTGGGGGTTGAGAGAAATCGTTTAATCATAGATACCAGTAAAGTTTACTACATTTTAATATATTTACTTTAATGTTAATATATGCAAATATAAATTAGGTAGTAAAGATGAAAAACTGTATAGTTTTATTTTGTTACTGTTATTATGCCCCGCAATTTCACTCACATAGAAATGATAATAAAATATTGTCAATAAAGAAGTTTTTTAGTTTAGGATATTTTAAAGGAATTATAAATTTTTCCGTTTCTCTCATTAATTATCAATTACCCTGAACAACACTAAATTGAATATATATTTCCTTCTATATTATGTTTTTATGCGTGTAGATAAATATTTATTATTAAATCTTAACCCCCTTATTTATAAATACTAAAACATGCTATGAACTATTCTAACTATGAGAGTGATTTGTTACTGTTTTTCAAATTAAGAAATTAATGTTAAAGAAAATGACAAAACACTTCAATAGCTAAAATAAGTTCATAAGTGGTTTGACATTTTTATGAATAAGAGGGTAAATGTATAATGTATGTAATTAAATTATTCTTTAATACCATCTAAATATGATAGTTTTTAGGTGACATTAAAAATTGTACGTCATTTTAACTGTAACAAATAATTTTCCAATATACAAATTTTTAGCCCCTTTTATGTACCTACGTTTTATATATATTATATATCTATTTATTTTATAAGAATGAGTATTCCTAAGTATATAATATTGTAACCTATACATTTATAATGCTAATCGTAATTATAGGTATGTAAGTCCGTACTCATAATAGAGGGGTTATTTGTAGATGATAAATAAAGTTAGTAACAATTCTTGCTCAACGCAAGTACCATTTTATGTACACACGTGTGAAATACTGTGATATAGAACAACTCTCTTTTGGACGAAGATATTAATTTGACAAATTCTGGTTTTTCATGTGTAAATTTTTTTTCTATAGTATCTATTTGTATTTTTAACATTACGATTTCTTAGGGACACGTATCTTCACCTATTATATATTGCTTATTATATTTCTATTGTTATTTTTTACATGTATTAGAAGGAACATTAATGTTATTTTTATTAACCTTTTTCTACTATAATTACATATATATATATGCGAAATTTATAATAATATCTGTACTGTAATATATCCTATAATTGATTTTTATGGTTCTCGAGGAACAGTTCAAACGTTCGAACAAATAAACATACAGACACTATTCAAGTTGTTAGAGACGAATTACCATTTTATATTATCAAAAAATCGATATTTACCTATTGAAAGACCGGTCTTTTAAACTTGTGTAAGGACATTTTAATGACGTCAACTTAACTCTAATTAAAGTTTTCCATCAGTGATGTATGATACAAATTAATTGCTAGATAATGGTATTTAAATGGAACATATCGTTTATTTTGCAATTTCTGTAGGTAAGGATGTGTCATTTCTAGTTATGATTTTAATGACTGAGTAATAAATAATACCTAAAATGTATACTATTAAAACTGTTGAGACCACAGGAGTTCTACATAACGAAATATTAAATTATGCGGTGTTAAGGAAAATTTATAAAAGTTAATATATGTTCGTAGTGGCCATAGCTAATAACAAAAAGTCTTCAGGGTATACGTGAATGACATATGAATATTCCTGGCCTTAAAATTGTCGCGTTTCAATAGCCAGGACTTCGCTGCTGTTCATGTTTTCCACAATTCACTTTTGTAACTTTCTAACCCTATGCCGGAGGAGAAGCGGCAGGGAGGGGCGCGCGCGGGTGCCAGAGAGAGGGTACCGACCTCATTGCCCATTGCCACTCCTCCCGCCGAGGCGGCAGGCCATTTTTATTAAAAATACTTCCGTGTAATAACATCGCGCGCGGATTTTTTTTTTGTTCACATCCTGAAATTTTTGTGTTGTTTATAAAAACTTTGTTTTGTTTTAAAAGAAAGTGGACGATTATTTTATAGACTTATATGCCTTTAAATATAAGACGTTTTTACATGAAAAAACTTTGGTGGTGAAGCAGTGAATTTCGAAAATTGGGAAAAAAAAATAAAACCACAAGTGCGCCCCGCGTTCTATTTTCCGTGCAGACTCGGGTGACTTCGGTTGCGAAAAGTGGCGGTGTTCGGTGATCTCCGGCGGCAATCGCCGCGAGGAGGGCGTCCAATCAACCCCGCCCGTGAGCAACAGAGACAGCGTGCACTGCTGACATGGCGACAACACGAATGGATTAATGTTTTTCACGTGGAAAACTCATCCCTCGAACATTGTTATGTCAAGGTAGGTTATAAACAATCTTTGAGAACCTACGCACATAATACTTAGATCAGAAAAACGTAGGTAAAACACATTTCTTTTACTAGGGGTTCCAAACTTAAGCCCGATAAATAAACGTTCATCCGCTATTTAAGCAAATAATTTAAGCATCAATTAATGAACAGCCTGGTTCATAATCAAATAACGCACCTAGATATTGTAATTATGGTTCATATATTTTTTTTCATGTGACAATACTATTAGCATATTTTAGTAACTTGTTTAAGCAAAGTAACCTACGTAAGGGGTAAGTTTTCATGGAAACTTACTAGTCCTTCTCTACCTTATACATCCCTCATTGTCTTTACCTATACGTATAGTGCCTTCCTCTTTATATATTACGGATGTCTATGTACTTAAATGGTTTAACCTGCGTTAGACTAACATAACCACCCCATAAACGGCCGCTGTTAGAATTGAGCGAATAGCGGGGGTGATCTTCATTTCGTGAGAGGAAATCAATAAATTTCAATAAATCAATATTTTACCGTGCACCCTGCGCTGAATATATCCGCTGCCGCCATTTCGATGATGACGGCGTATTTTTTGTGAGAGATATTCGAGTCGCGGTCGCGGAGCGAGTCGGCGTTCGTGGCGCGGCGCGGGGTTGCTTGCGGACGGGCTGCGACCGTCAGTCGTCGGGTGAGCGGGGTGCGACGTAAACGCGGACTCGGACTATGGCGGAAGGGCTGATCCTCATTCCCATAAAAGGGTCGAGTTGATTGTGGTGCAGATACGTGTGGTATGTTCTCTTATGTTAGTGCAGTGATATAATTATTCTGAAACCGTGCTTATCTTGACGTATCAGCCGAATTAATGTGGATATCGTCGGTAATAATGCCATTGTGATGACGTAATGTAACGCGCTCGACTGGGTGCGTAGTAATAATTCGAGCGCCCGTTTGTACTGCGATAACGTCTGTGGTCAGCAGTCAGCACCTGTGGATGTCCACTGAATAATCGTGTTTTAGCTTCAGATTAAAAATCTAATTATTCCTATTGGATTCCAATAAGAATTTATTAGATTTTTATTTAGCTATTCGTTGTCGATGAAGGAGGTGTTATGTTACCTCAATTTAATAACGTTGTGAGCTAAATAAAAGTTGCTTCCAATATAAAAATAAGCGAATAACTTAAGGTACGATATCTACATGTTTTTTATGAGTGGACTGCGCCGTCGGTGCACAGACTTGCCACCCGCCGCTAGAGGCGCCCTCGATTTTTTAACCTTGATTGAATTGGATACTGACTGAATTCATTCACAAACTACTAAAACATTTTTACTCCGATAATAAATTTATTGTATATGTATACCTACTTCATGATTCTTTTATAAACAAACCGCAAAAATATACTAAAATTACTATTAAACAATAAAATTTAAGTTATATTCCGTACGAGATTACGCCATTAACCCTTTACCGTGCATAGTTAATATATCAAACTGAAACCTGGTGTAGGATTTCTGAAATAAAACAGTTCTCTCAGTGAGATTACCTAATCGTGATATGAAAATAATTTTTAATTTTTTTATATACTTTAATAACTATATAGAACTAATTAAATCAAACATGTGATCGCGCGTTTTCGTCGACAAATATAATAATGCAAAAAATCCATAAAATAAAAAACTTATAAAATAAACAAACATTATAATTATATGTTTATTATGTGTATTTATTAATATGTGTACAAATGTGTTATTTTATATTTATTAGGTACAATACTTACTTATGTATGAAATTTTGCAGATCAAATTGTTTAAATGATAAGCTGTTTACGGTTAAATAAATAGGTATGATTGAAATTTTGTACAAAAATAGACATTATCATATAGGATATCAATTTATTATTATAATTTACGCGAGAAAAGTCGCGAGATACTGAAAATATTTTCATACATTTTACATTACACATTATTTATATACTTATTTAGTTGCATATGTTTTACTTTCATATGAAACGCTAAGTTTCCTCGCCTTCCATATTTTAAGTCTTTTTTGTAAATTATTATACCTAGATATTAGTAATCTAATTAATATTTAAAGGTATAATTATATTTTTTCAATATTTCATTTCATGATATTAAATGCCTAAAAGAATTAAGAAAGCTTGATTCGAATTTATAATTTAATAGCTGCGCTTAGGACTTTGCTTTTTTGTTTGTTTGGGATAAAAAGCAGCTTGCTAGCTAAGCTAGTTAGCCTATATCGTTCTCCATCCAGATTTTTCTGAACTGATGCACTTATACATACATTAACTGTACATAACAATACATATATATATATATATATATACACACATATATATACATACATATATATACACCCCTTAGAAGTCTTATCGAAGTATTAGTCTATATTACATTATATTTACCTACCTATGAGTCATAAATAAAGGGTGGAGACCATGAAATGATCTCATATATTTACTAAAACTAAACCTACAAAATATTAAATATTTTATTAGTATTGAAAATGCATCACTAATTTAGTAATTTGATACTAAATGGATTTATACGTACATATATGATAGTGCAATAAAAAAAAGCTAATTTACTGTGAGTCTAGAGTCTATTAAATCTTTAATATTATGATTTTATTCTGAACATATGAATGTAGGTATATACCTGAAAGTTACGTATCCTATATCTCTAAACATCAAAAATGCTTGATCTCCCATTCAAATTTTTATACATTAAATCAATTGTAAATGGCCTTTTTATTTAAATATAAAAAATTATGTATAAAAATCTTACCTTATAAATTCTCCCTCTATTTTAGACGTTGCATAAGTAATGATTTTAAATAAGTCACAAATCTGATATGTTTTTCAAATATGGATCTCAATCAACATTCGGCTTGGACTTGATGAATCAGTCCGTCGTCCAATTAGCAGTTCTTAATTTTTTTTCTGTTAATAAATGTTCCTTTAATGCTATAGCATTATATATATAATATGTAAGACTAAACACATTATTTAAATTAAATTATTAAATACAAAAAGAAAAGCAGTAAAATATAAGGATCTCTAATTCAAGATAACATAGTTTGCTTATAAATAAATGGGCACAAAACAACTGATTTACATATTTAATGACATATCTAAATATTTTATTTATAAAAATATATAACACAAGATAATTTGCCAAATTTTTCATCATTAAAGTTTATAAAACACGTTTATTATTCATTCATACAGCACACTTAATTTGCATTATTTACCTACCTATGTAAAGATAAATTATAGTATTTATCTAAAATAACTACTAAGTAACTCACATTATTTATTATAAAAAGTAAACTAAAGTATTAAAGTGATTATTTCTTGTAATTGTTTATATTTATAATAAGTTTACTATTGTAATCTTTTGGAGGAAACAATAAAGAGTATCTATCTATCTATAAGGTGCCGGGACAGAATATAATGACATAAGAATATCTGTAATAATTATTATAAAGGACAAAATGTGTATCTTATTTGTTTTTTTTTTTTTTTTTGGGTGATAATGAAATGGTAATTCCGTCTGCGCTAATAATATATGCTGCCAAGGCACCAGTGAGGGATGTTAGGTGAGAATAAAAAGGCAATTCAGTTCGCCCATCTTGATGAATATACCTAAAATTTAGCACGAATGTTTCCAAGAAGGACCACGTGGAGGTCGACCTGACAAGGTATATTGCAAGCAATGGGACTGGTAGTCCGCATTACTAAAAGTCCCTTACCCTACCTTATTTATTTATGAGGTTATGCTTATTTTTTAATTGTTTAAATTCTTATAATATTGTCATCTTGTCTGTTTAACTTCTCATGACATAGCATCATAACTTTTGCAACTTAATTTATACTCTATTGAATTATAAACAAAGATATACATAGCTTAGGAGGTAGACGCTTGCAAAAAGATAATAAAAACAATAAGTAACTGATTATTTTTTTGCGGATCTCTTCACGTGAATGCTAAACGTTTGAATACATTTTTAATGAAGTCAAATAAATGTCTTTTTCTTGAATATAATCAGAAAATGTTCACAAGTGTTTCTATTGCGTAGCTTATGTTTTCGAGATACAGTCTTCCAATACAAAGCGTCGTAAAATTGGAAAGTTTGTTCCCTTTACTTTTTAATTATGGACGTATGAAAAATTGGAATGAATTTAGATTAATAACGTCCAGTACATTAGAATGCAAAATTGTTTTGATTACTTTATAGAATATTTAAAATACTGTTTCAAGTATAAAACATATTCACCTTCTGCTACAGGTATAGCGATAGGAAAACAAAAAAAAAATTATTTTATATATGGCATAAATACTAGTAAATCTTTAGGTGTGTCAAATTATAAATAAAAAAATTGTAAGTAATTGTTATAATTATATATAACAATTTCTTTTTCATCCATTAAAATATATTTTTACTAGTTTATCAATTCTTAAGAAGTACTTTACGTAATAAATTATAAAATACAAAATTTTATAAATAATTTTAAATGGATATCAATGACTGCATAACCAAATGAAACAAAATAACGATATTTTCATAAATGTTGAACGATAAATACGCTTCTTCCCTATAGTATAACCTTAAACAAGGACATTCGTCGCTAGTTGCTCTATCATTTCAGATTGCGTGAAATCCTCAGAAAATAATAGCGTGACAGAATTAAAAAGATGCTTTATCGAATAAATGGTGTAATCATATAGGGTAATTAATCATTAAACTGACGCGAGAGTGGAGAAATCAATAATCCAGGAGTAACTTTCTGTTGCTGATGCCATAAAGTTGCTAGTAGTGAATGTCTAAGGGGTCTTTATGATTATGTAAATCATATTTGCCTTGTACTTGTGATCATTTTGAAATAGCATCCTACCTCTTTGGCAGAAATGTGCCAAATACTATCGGTGCATTTAAAAAAATACCGATGTTAGCAACTAAATTTACATGACATTTTTAATTGTTTTAATTATGAAAGTACTACATAACAGCAAAATGAAATTAATATGACAGTGCTAAAGTTATAAAAACATTGTATTTTTTGGAAATCGGGTAAATCTAAAACAGGAAATGTGTTTTTTTTTTTATATATTATAAAAGGGAAAGATTTGATAGTTTTTTTTGTAATGAATAATAAATTCAAAGACTTCTCAACAGATTTTAATTTTTTTTTTTTACTTATAAATAACTTTATTATCAGCGAGTTACTCGCTGATAATAAAGTTAAGTATAAGACTGTATATTATTTTTAAATATTCTATCTACTCTTGCAAAACCGGGTCGAATTGCTACCGATATGTATTTCGGAATTTTCTAAAATAGACTATTGGTAATTTTTTAGCTAAAGAAAATCGGGATTATAGTTTTAAGATGGTCACATTATCAGTTAATGTAATGCCGTTTGGACGATGTAATTCACCCATAAATATACTTACTTTTTTTTATATTATTTTAAGGGCTTTTACTTTCTTCAGGTATATCAGTCCTATTGTACCCTAAACTGATTTCTCAAACAAAACTTTATCTACTTTCCCTAGACTCGGAAAGAGAAGAATTAATCAATAATTTACAGAGATATTAAAAAATTTCTGGTTCTTACTTGGCGTAAGTATATTTATGGGCAAATTACATTTTAACGCCTATGTGTTAATATTGTTATTACACAGAATATAAATATGTATTGTGACGCCCCATGTTATATGTCCATTTATAGTAGACGGAGATGCACTGTTTTTTCAACACTGAAATTAGTAGTCCACATGACAAAATACAGTAATATGATACCAGACATGCTAGTTGAAAATTATAACTTGATAAATCAGTTTCGGAATATTTTAGAAGTATGTGTTCAGTATTTTGTTAGTAAGTAAGTGCTGTATATATAGATTCTGTATAATAATATCAACATTTTTTTATCTATTTCAGGTCCCTGTGGCCGTCATCCAAAATGCACTAACAGTTTAAAACAAATTGAAAATGGCTTTTAAAAAGTAAACATTGTCTATTGTTGATGATTTATTGTATTGTTCATGGAACAAGAGAGAAAACTTATGTATACATTGAATAATTGTTGGTATATTAGCTTTTAAATCTGGACTGGTTAATTCATATCTTCCAAAGAGGGTATAATATAAATTAAAAAATGGCGACACAAAGATTCTGTTTGCGGTGGAACAACCACCAGTCAAATATGTTATCCGTATTCGACCAATTACTGCACGCTGAAACGTTTACTGACGTCACCTTAGCTGTGGATGGTCAACTGTTAAAAGCACATAAAATGGTTTTATCGGCATGCAGTCCTTATTTCCAAGCTCTTTTCGTCAATCATCAAGAGAAACATCCTATAGTTATACTAAAGGATGTCCCCTATGCCGATATGAAAAGTTTATTAGATTTCATGTACAGAGGAGAGGTGAGCGTAGACCAGGAGAGGTTAACAGCTTTTTTAAAAGTAGCCGAAAGTTTAAGGATAAAGGGACTTACAGAGGTGAACGAAGAAAAGTGCGACATCCCAGCTCTCACGAACTCCTTAATTCAACAGCAGTCAAGTGCGACGCACACGCCACCGCCTCAGTTGCACAGAATACACCCGTACATGCATCAAAAACGGCCCGCTTCTGGTATGCCCAGTGGCGGTGCACCTCCAAATTTACTAATGCCTCTATTGGGCAATGCATTAATGCAACCGAAAAGAAAACGGGGTCGACCGAGAAAACTGAGCGGAAGTTCAAGTGATGCATTAAACACGGCGGCTAGTCCTCCCGGCGAATTCATCTCGGAGTCGGCATCTCACGCTCCATCGAATAGGGCGGGCGACCAGTTAATCCGTGGCTCCCCTGAAATGCTGGAAGTAAAAATGTCTATGGACGGCTTTAGCGCTGAAGATGGCGCGACGTCCGGTGGCGAGGATGCTGGCGAAGCTCTGTTGATAGATGAAGGCGACGACGCTCACTCGACAGAAGCTCCCACTGGAAAAGACTCCGAATCTGCAGGTATGTGCTTAGAATTATTTTGGTTATGAGATATATTTTTAGCGACAGTTTCTTAATTCGTTTATATATAATTAAAAAAAAATGTTACATAGTAGACAATAAACAACAGTACTGTTCTAGAATACCAATGTTTAGGTGAATTATGTAAAATACTTATCTTAAATGCGGCTAAGGACTTCGAGGACAATTTTTACAAATTTGCTTCTCTTTTGTAAATACATATATTAATCTTCCTTTCCATTGATCTAACACTGTTCAATAACAGTAAAATGAAAATAAAATAAAAATTAAAGGGAAAAGCTAATGGGATATAAGCTTTGATGTTAGGAAATTTTATCATTAAGTGAATAAGTGAAGTGTACTTATGTTTAATATTTAAAGATTCTAAAGGGGTAAGTGATAATCTATCCAATTATTTTGACATATCGAGTAACAGATGCTTATTTCTTCTATAAAACAACAACTATTGCTTGCTTGTGCTTTTGGGGAGAGCTATTAGAGGAATGGCCAGGGGCAAGTCCGGTGTGGTTTAATGATTTCAGTAATAATTTCTTTCTATTTAAACTTTCTTACATATACTTTATATAAAAATGAGAGAAGGGAACAGAAACAAGGCTTATTCCCAATAGCTTTCCTTCATATAAAGCAATTGGAAATATTATAGTGAGCTAACATACCTATACCAATTTATAAATATCTATTATCACTATTCAAAACTACTCATATCGCTAAAATATTTCCAAAATCGATATCATTAAATAAATTCAATAAAAAGAAAAAAAAAATTAAACACGTAAATTGAGGCCTGAAATTGTATATTTCAGATCCCGATAAAGCACCTAAAGAGGAATCACACCAAAACTATCCAACTAATGGGCCTATTTTATCCATAGAAAATGGATCAATTAAGCAAGAGCCTGCTGCTGATGCTACTGATGGGTACAACGAACCTGTCGAGTATAAATTTAATCCGGATAGAAGTCGCGAAAACTCCAATTCACGAGACGGTTCTATTAAAGATGCAGATGATAAAAGCAGACTAGGTCGTAACTTAAAGCCAAAGAATAGTAAAAAACTACTACCCCAAATGTCAAAAATTAGAGCCCGAAACTTATTCAATCAGCTCTCTGGTCTATCTAACTTGAATCCCGCACTTAACACTTTCGACAAGTTCCCGCCTGAAACTGTACTTATGCCCGCTCTTGCCACGCAGTTATTCGCTGCTGAATTAGAACAAAATAATCTTAACTTGGGTAATAACGATGTGTCCGATTTAGCGCAAACTAATTGGGAACATCGCATATTCACTTCACCTATTAGAAAAAATAACATAGGTAACGTGGCAAATTATCACGAGGATACGAACGAATCTGTAAGAGATTACTGCATTAAGGAGGGAGAGAATGTGTTCAGATGTAAAATTTGTGCGCGAGTGTACACGCATATCAGTAATTTCTGTCGACACTACGTCACTTCTCATAAGAAAGACGTCAAAGTGTTTCCGTGTCCAATTTGTTTCAAAGAGTTCACTCGGAAAGACAACATGATTGCGCATCTAAAGATTATACACAAAAATCAACCTAATGCTAACGAGCAAATGGCCAAACAAGAGTCTTAATTTTTGGTACTCGATTTATGAGCAAAGTAATAAAGATCTGATTATAGTTAAAGGTAGGGTATAAGTATATCCATCCTAAGTGAAAAGTTGAATACATAGTTGTTAGTAGCCATTGGTTGCGATTGAATAGGCATTCGAGCTCTTGGTTTCACGAGTATATCAATAAGTTCGTTGATATTTTAGATGATATCGTTTGTTGTTATATTTATTTATTTATTTATGTTGTTCCATTACTTTCTCAAAAGTGCTGACTACAAAGAGATTTATAAAATTTTCTATAATTTACTTGTTATTTTGCACTTACTTGTTACTTAATTTTATTACTTACAAAATTTTCAGGGTACAAAGTAACTACTCATGGTGATCGTTATATCAAAAGTAGTCTTATTCGATTACTTTTTATGTGCTGATTGTTGCATACAATTCTCATTGAACTGAATTAGTTAGTTATAAGTTTAGTAGATATATTTTATGAGTATGACAATGGCGTGGTCTTTTTGTAAAACGAGATGTATGGTGGTTACTAACTGCAAACGATTTATTAGAAAAAGAGGCTAAACTCTTTGCAAAAAGGCACCTATCGACGCGCCATTGTGTAGTGGTGTAAAATGCATTTTCATTAACTTGCCTTATTAGTGATCTTAGTTGTAAATGATGATTTGACTTCTTCGAAGTAAAACTCAACACAGGCTATGATTTTATTTTCTAGAACTTGTTAAGGTTAATTTAAAATATTTTATCAATGTTGGAATATTTGTTTGTAAATGTTATGCTATTCAAATACGTGTTTTAAACTACATCATAATATATAGAATGAAATGAAATATAACATAGAATAGAATTATTAAAATCTCATTTACAGCGAAAATTGTAGTAATAAATATTCAGTTCCTGAACATTGAACAGAGCCCCAACACATTGTGACAGTTATCAAGTAGATATTTTATTAAAAGTTTTCAATTCCTAACATAATTATATAAATAGATGCATATTTCTTTAGCATATAATAAAATTATTTATGTAGAAAAATACCTACTAGGAGTATCTATCAAAGACAATATAACAAAATATACATTATAGAGCATAAAATTATAAAAGAAATTAAATACAGTCGATGATTTACATTGCTGCTACGATTGTATTAATTGATAAATTATGGCGGTGTTATAATAACGTTAAATTAAAAAATCCAAAGGAAAATCAATATATTCACGTACTTGATGTCCTACACTATTGAACACTATGTAATATTTAAAAAGACCACACACCTTAAGTTAGAGAATGACAAGATACAGAGTTGCACGTATCATGGCTTTAACATAGCAGGTACATCGTCGTTTGAATTCGACTAAAAACGATTATTTAAGAAGGTGCACACAGTACGTTCTTAGCGTTTTCAATTACAAATCGTATCAGTGAATTAAAAACTAGTGATTTATTGAATTTTGGAACGTGTATCATTCGTATCTTTAATCTTATGGAGATTATCATTTCCAATTTTGTGTCTGACAAGTTTGTATTTGGAGTAAATTTATAAATCTACTAATTGATAAATAAATAATGTGGTTTATATTATGCAACAATTAGTTTAAAGCCAAATAAACAAAAAAGCTTTTAACGAATCAAACAAATGAAATATTCAAAATTTGGCAGAACATTGAAATGAAATGAAATGATAGCTCTAGTGATGTTTAGATATATACTTATTAATTTTATTATAACACACCCATGAAATCTTTATCTCCATCGATCCTGATTAACTCTATATTACAGCAGGACTATGTAAATTACGAGAATGTAAAAAAATGTTATAAATGTTGACAGTTTTGTAAATAATTCAAATGAGGCGGCAACAAGGCGTTGTTGCTAAAGTGATCTTAGCAAGGTGCTTTGAAAGATGTTTATTGATTACTGGAATCATGAGATGATTTGTAAATTCTATTTTAGTAGAAATCAAAATGCCTTAATTATTAAATAAGGGACGGTACTTATAAATTATTTAGTTAAATTTAGAGGCAAAAGTAGTCTTCCATTTATTATCGATAGTGACACGTTTTCTCATTTTCAATTTCTGTGACAATCAAGAATCAAGTTCACCTATAATAAGTAAATCATTGCATACTATTAAATTATTTGTAGTATACTTAAATATATTAAGTTGTAAACCTGTAACCAAAACTCTCCAATATATTGAAATGTAGGTCCAGGGAACGCTTGCCTATTAGTGTGCCTTTACTTGTATATTAATAAGTTAAATATTTATCGACTAATAGAAAATTAAGAACTTCAAAGATTGTTATGTATTGTTTATTTTCATTATTCGGAGTTTACATCTACTTTAAGATGCTTCCTTAGGAGTTTAGAAACCTTTTAGGCCGAAGTAGTTAAATAAAATTTGTAATTAAAAATAAGAATATCATCTCATGGTTTCCCATTACATTTTGGTAAATGATGCAAATATAAAATTTATATGAAGTAACATGCGTTCGAGGCGAGTGAGTCTTGATAATTATATTAAGACTGTTTAAATTCATAAAAGAAACGAATTTATTGTACCTACCTTTCATAATATTTATATGAAATTTACCTTTGAAACTGATAGGTACTTAAAAGGGAAAAATTAGACTTAATTAAGGTGAGGCTATTATTGAAAGTTTAAAATCTCTTACCTGTATTATATAGTCAATTTAGCCAGTGCCTAAGCTAATGCGTACGAAGATTATTCTTACATGTAAGTTTCTTCAACAGTTGGATTACTATTACTTTACTACTTAACTTCTTTGTTCCTTGCTTTTTATATCTAACTGAAGTTACTTCTTAACAAAATATAAACAAGTAAATGTTATTCAAAATTATATTTTACTATATCAATCCAAATATTATTTATTAAAATGTTATATCATCAATTGGTGCTAAATTATACTTAAGAGGTGTCACATTTAATGTGACATTAAATGGATTGTCCCGAAACATACATACTATATTGTTTGTTGATATTGTTGTGTTATATATATATATATATACATTATCTATGAATGTACTTATATATCATCATTATGTAATTATCGTAGAATGAAAAATCTAATTCCTATTAAATGAGAAACAAAAAGGAGTAAAGAAATCAAGCATATACGAGTCAATATAAAATTATCTAATGATGGTCAAAATTATGTCTGAGTAATTTCAAATTTATTGTTACAGTAAACTTTACTATCAATATAGATACATATATTTATGGCAATAACTACCAAAATTGAATGCAGTTAAAAAGTACCTGCGGAAAGCTATAGTTGTTATTTATTTCATGATTTTACAATATTAAATCTTTAAACATGTAAATTCACATATGTCGACTCATTTACTATTTACTTTATATATTAAAACATAAAATATGTAGCCGTTTGGATGTGTCGCCTATAATTACACAAAACTCGAGGATTTTGTTCTTAATTAATTCAGTAATAAGTAAAAAAAATCATATACTCAAGATTTATATACTGGTACCTCATTTAGTAGTCTTATATAATATATTGACACATAATTACGTAGCTAAATACATTTAGATACCATCTGTAGTTGAAATAATTGTGATAAACTGTTTGCACACATTCAAACTGGCACGAACGTATTAACTAGACATTTGAAAAATTCTTCACAATTCATCAGCTCTTATATTGAAAAACAGTTATATAGTAACAGTTATATATTAATTATTAAGTGATATGAATTAACTTCACACGGAACATACCTACCTACATCATAAATATAATATCTAGCCAAATGTTAAGTAAATCGATATTTTTGGTTATTTGCACTTAGACAATAGCAAATGCAAATGTTTAGATACATTTAGAATTGAAAGTTACACGAAATAGAATTATTTGTTAAAGACAGAAAATACATTGGTATACAATAAGGTGTTAATTACTATTTTTAGAATCTTTAAAGAAAATAATAAAAGTTACAGCAAAATAGCAAATCTTATCTATTATTAATGTTATTATTTTGTTTTGTTATTAACTTATTTTTAAACCCTTCTTTTATTTCAAATATTTGGATAAATGTTTATATTTCATGCGTTCCTTAATCTTTGGTCTTTCCAATGTGTTACATCTGTTTGTTAAGTACTTATCGTTGAGTAGTCTTAAACTGTCTATAACTTCTTGAATTTTAAATGTAGAAAAATATATTTTAATGAAAACTGATTATCTTGCCAGCAGCTATTTATAACAATCATTAAATAACTTATGAAGTGGTGGCATTGTGACAAATAATGAATAACCTGTCACTAGTGATATTTGTAGCAACGACAACTGATGGTAATGTTTTCAGATAATTAAACAATATTAAATAAAATTTAATTTATAATTGTAGCAAAGTAACAACACGGGTTATTAGTAAAGAATAGTTTAAAAGTTAAGTTATTTATAATATTATTATATTAGACATAAATAGTGTTGTTAACAATGGAGTGAATTTTCTAAACTGTAGAATCTTTGTTAGTCACGAAGAGGGGACTGATCAGGTACGTTCTCCTAAGTTACTATCACATGTAGATGGTGTGGTTAGCGCTAGATTACGTTTGATTATGCTTTCTATGTTGCTCAAATTGACGATACGCAAACAAACTATGTTTTATCCAGTACAAATTGTTGCTTTTTAATTTTGTTTTTTTTTTTTTTTAATTTAAAGCAATAGACATTTTCTATACAACATTACTATTATCTTCACATTATTATGAGGCTATTCCGTTATTGTTTATTTCTATACATTACATATGTTGGTTTAAACCCATGGCAGCTATAATGGTCTGATTCTGTTTACGTTTCAGTTATATAATTTGTAACTGTACTCTTTCTACTTTAATACCCACCTTTTGTGATCTTAAGAGCTAAGTTAACTGAAGTGTTATTTTTTTATATTTGTGTACCTACTCGTATACTTTACTTGCCGAAATAGTTCCAAATGCAAACACTTTTGAGTCCTATTATATCATAGTGAAATCTGTTCTTTTTTGTTATATTATTTTTTAATTTATTAACTTAATAAATTATAATTACTTTAAATAGTTTAATTAAGCAGTTTAACACGGCACAGCTCAAAGTTGTTCATTTATTTGATTCTCAAACACAATTTTGTGTTGTAACAAAACAATTTATTATGACACCAGAAGGTTTTGTGATGTCTATTGAATTGTAACTATGAAGGACTGATGTTTTCAGTTCATTAGATTCCAAAAGTTATGTTTCTATTTTTCATTTGTTTCTAGTTTTAAATGTTTTATTTTAGGATTTATTACATGGACGAGATTTAATGCACATTATACTAAATAAGTATATATCTACACGAAATCTTTAATTGTATGGTGCTAATGATCATTGTATGATTTGATATCGTTAAATTACAAACGATATGTCAGGAACTATGTCCACAAACTTGTCCGTGAAGTAATTCCGTCTTTCGTGGTTTTTCTTTTAATCATGGTGTAATCACTTTCGTCATTCAATTTGAACAAATAAAGGTTAATATATTTTCTTCGCTTGTTTTTTTTTTTTTTGTTACCATCACACGTTTAAGTTGACGCCCGTTCCAATTGTCTATTATGCTAGATGTGTTTGTGAGTATTCGTTAGATAGTATTTTGAAGTTGTTCCCCAAACTATAATTCCACTTGTTTTATTTTACAGAACGTGGTACACCAGATTCTGAAAATAAAGATAAGTATTCACAATCACCGTCCAACGATGGAACAGGTAAAATTCGTGTGAACCCTGCAGTGCAGGCATCTACATCAAATGAATATCAGAATGATACAATAAACAACAATACACTCCAGGGTGGCACTCAAAGGCCGGTCGCGAGGAGACGGGTACGTAGAAGAGCCAATTCCGCCTCCAACGACCCTGCGGAGCAACTGACTGAAATGTCAGTAAGGGGGCTCAATCTCTTCAGATACGCCTCGGTCAACGAAGGCGTATATCAATGCATAGAATGCGCGAAGGAGAACATACAGAAAACCTTCAAAAACAAATATTCATTCCAGAGGCACGCATTCTTATACCACGAGGGACAACAGAGGAAAGTGTTCCCTTGTCCCGTGTGCTGTAAAGAATTCTCTAGGCCAGACAAAATGAAAAATCACATGAAGACTACGCACGATTGTTACGTGCCCAAAGAATGCGTATATCCAACAAACGCGTACTTTATGATACCCGGGATCGAAGGGCAGCTGCCGCCGGGTATCAAGATGGAGACTATGGGCTCGGGCTCTCCGCGAGGGTCGACGCCATCACACTCCTCGCCAGACCCAACGCAAGTTTGAGTGATACTCTGTGACTGTTATGGCGCAAGTATTATTAATTCCATATAAAACTTCAAGGACATACAAAATAGTGCCTTAAGAAACGTCTAATATAAAATAACTTCCTATATAGCTAATACTTACGCATCTTCAAGATCGGACCTTCGCTAATAAGTATTGTTCTATTTTTGGAGTAAAATTTTCGTGTACACTTTTATATGCTATATATTATATTATATATATTCCAATAATACTGTTATGCATTTAATATCTAATGTTTGTTACAGATAAAAGCTCATTATTATAAAGTTGTTTAAAAGTATGGTTGTGCAAATATTAGACAATAAATATACAATTTATAAACATGGCCAGTTACGCAATAACTACGGCGTATTAAATTTAAACTATTACTTATATAAATTTTAGAGTTAACGGGTGCTGTACAAGTCTGAATCGTGCCTTCCATTCATATGCAATTCTCTGTTTAGACATAACACATTGTTGTCGCCGTAAAAATGAAGCTACAGAGGTATAATTATTGAGGAAGACCGCAAGACACCAACCAAAGAGCTTATTCCATATACAAATTGTCTTCGCATACGATTACATAATATTATTATCTTTAGATATCTAAAACACGATTATAAAGTGTTACAGTTCAATTCTCAATAATATTACCAAATGGCGACAAGAATGTTGATTAATTTATTATTCTAAATCTAAAAATATCTAGACCGAGACATATATAATTATATGTAAATGTTAATTTTATATTTTCTATTATAAAGACTTATAAATGTTTAAATTACTATTTGAAATGTTAGTGAGCCTATCGTTATGTCATGTACCTATTTGAATCTTTATTATTAACAAGAAAGAAATATTAAAAAATATATTATAGTTCGAGGAATTATCAATAAAATATGTTAACGTAAAACTTATTAAGTGCCATAGCACGTGTATTAATTTGTATAATGTGTAAACTGTTCCAACTCTTGTTACTTCACTTTTAGGATTATGTTTAGTTGGTATGGAAGTGTTCTAGATATTCTAGAACCGAAAACGAAATCAGCAGTTCTTCCATTGATAAGGAAAATAATATTCGTTAATTGAGTGGCCCTCCTCGCTTACAATCTCGATGTTAGGATCTCCTGTAATTTTTTTTTTTTTATATATTTATTTTTATCATCAATTTAAATTAACTATCACTTTTGTTTATTAAAAAGTACATGAATTTAAATTAATCTTCTGTATGTGTCTCTTTGTTTTGTTCATTTTTCCGCCCAGAAGTAGCAGTACATAAGGGGTGATACATGGCAGGGAAATTATTGTGTATTGCTGTATAACACACTGGTTGTCACGATTGGCAATGTATGTGACATCCTGGGTGTTTAAGTTTATATTGATATTGTCAGGCCCCAGACAAGTGGCAAGCGACATCGTCGATGGAATCGACATCGCTAATGAGTCCATGAGATAGAATGAGACATTGTTGTCTCATTTTATCTCAAGGACTCGCTAGCGATATCAATTCCATTAATGAATGCGCTTGTCACTTGTCTAGAGGGCCAGTAGTATTGTCTATATCTCTAAACGACTGTTACCACTATCATTACATGGACCATCGTTTCTTTGCCATATTCAAGTCGAATAAAATAAAAAAAAAATTAACATGAGGTCGCTGCATGGAAATTCATAGCGAGGAGTGCCTCTTAATGGTACGATCGCGACTAATCTCCGTGGCAAGTTTGGATGATTGCTACTAATCTCCACGTAATATTAAGTTCATGTTTGGGAAATATCTTTAAGTACCTAAATGTATAAGGACAATTTTATATATAATTAGATGATTCGACGCCGTAAATGAATAGATTATAGTTATACTATATCTACTTAAAAGATTTATTGGTTATATTGTGTTTTTGTATTTTAAAATTTAGCGCACAACGGTTATTGAGATAGTTTATGTTAAGTTTTATGTAAGATTTTGTTAGATCACATTCTTGTAGATATAATATTATGGTGGATTACTTGAATCCCTAGATTTAAATGGTCGCCGAGAAGGTATTAACAATTACAGTGTGATTTATAATAAATATAATTAGTTATTACATCAGAGCCAGTCAATCGCACAAACTAATTCATTTAATATATTATAACACATTTCTAATTTTGCGTCTGACAATTTTATTTTTATTTTTCAAGTGGTTCTTTTGAAATTCACTATTCTTTTTATGAGTGTCTGCAAATGAAGTGCATTTGACGGTAAAATATTGTAATAGCTCAGAACAAGTGATCACTATGTTACTGAAGAGTCGACACTGGCCTGACATTGACGGATAGTAGGAAATGATGCAATTATCTCCAAAAATTGTTCAATGCTCCCGAAAATTGATAGATAATTATGAGGTCGCCATATTGTGATATCAATGTCTTTAAACAGACCCCAATTGTAATAAACTGCACAGCAAAAGCCTACATTGAAGATAGTTTCTGCAGTAATCGGAATATTTGGTCCAGATTATGTTTTGTGTTTATTTACTTTTAAAAGAATTATTTTTTCCACATCATAGATCTAATGAAAACTTGAATAATAATGTTTCTCATAGATTAAAACGGTCCTATTACAAAAAGTTGCGCTATATGGTTTCTAAACATATGTTTAGAAAAAAAACACGGGCCGTATATATACACACTTATAGTTTTAATAGAAAAACTGGAATTAACTAACGTCCAATTGCATTTCGTTTGTAAGTCCAAATTGCAATAACAATATGGTTTCCATTTCTGTGTGATCACAGATACATACGTATACATATTACATTCCTATGTGTATGTATGTGTCATACAGGCACCATTTCTCATTTATAAAACAGAGTAGTGAAATGTTATTTCTGTTTCTTTTATTTCTTCTTTTGTAGTATTTTTATTTTGTGATATTAGTGCTAACTAAGTTGGCAATCATGTTCATTGTTGAGTTATTATAATTCTTATTTCTCCTTTCTTAACACGTGCTGCAAGGCAGCGTATTTTTTAAAGAAATAATATGTAAATTAATATTATTTTACATTATAAATAAGTATTATGGGCACAGGTTAGGTGCGAATCGGCGGTAAGTACTAACTTTAGCTTGATAGAACAGTCCTTGTTTATATTCTTGTATACACATGCAATTTTTTTATTTTCTTTACACATTGATATACAAAAAATCCAAGATGTATCAGGGGCTTGAAGCTGCTAACTTACTAAGCATACAATGATGATTATTATCAAAATATTCTTACAAATTTAGTAGCACATAACGTCCAGCATATTTTTGGTAAATACTTACTCCACTCATAACTAGAATTTTGTTCTAACGTGCCTACCTTGTTAATTTTTCATTTTAAATTGACACAGTTGTCACTGTAACTTATATATACATATACTATTACTGATCTTGGGTTTTCTATATACCAATAATTGGCTTCACAGAAAAGTAAATATAGTTAAAAAAAATGACAAATTATTTAATGTAAGTACCAACAATAAATTTCTACACATAGATATTTATTTATCTAAAAAAAAATTATTTTAACATTTAAAAATGTTATTCTCCTGTTTGCACGTAGTTAAATTTTGTTGGTACTTTTACATATTTAATTCATAGATTTCTATCTACACTGTTTAAAAATGGCTAAATAAAATATGAATTATCTGAAACGTACTGTGAATCAAGTTGTTACTTATAATAATAAATATAAATATATACTTCTCTCACTAATCTTCTCATATTTTTATAAACATGAAAGTTACAGAAATTGTCGATATACCTACCTACCTACCTACGTATATTTAGATAGATACTTTAGATTACGATGTGCAATTTTTATGCAAGTGTTGATTTTTTCACTATATTCTATTGATTTCATAGTTTACTTGCGAACCTATTAAAATGTTTAATGACTATTTACAAGGTAATTTGTTCTTCTAGTAGATATCTACCTATTAAGTACATCATATAATTTTTGTTTCCTTTGTATTATGAAAGTTTTAAATTCTTATTTTTTTTTTACCACAGAGAATATCTACATATCACAATAATATTATTATGTAGCTCTTTATTTAGAAAAAAAAATGTCTTTGTATTACACGTACAAGTCTATAGACATGAAGAGCTATAATAAAAATTATTTTGGACATTTCGACTATTCCTGTAATATTTAATGGTGTATTAAATGTAGAAATAGTACCGT